CCCAGGCCCCATCAAATGCCCCAGCGGCATCAGCCGCGTGCGGCGCTTGTGCGCCCCTCGCGCGCTCGATGGCCCGAATACGGTAACCCAGTACTTCCCAGCGTCAGCGGCCGCGCGTGCACTTGGGCACCGCTCGCGCGCGTCGCGACCCTACGGGGGCCCCCGCCGAAGGCCCCAGGCCGCGCGCGGCGCCTGCAGGAACCTCGCGCAGTTCGCGGCTCGACGGGGGCCCCGCCGAAGGCCCTGGCGGCAGCGGCTGGGCGCGGCGAAGAAGCCCCGCGCATGTCGCGGCCCCGCAGGGGGCCCCGCTTGAAGCCCCAACCCCGCTGGCACCGCTCGCGCGGCTGCACTGGCTCACGTCGGCGCGCCCCCGCCGCGCGCCCCCTGGCGCCCAAAGGAATTCCACCAGCAACTGCGATCAGAACTGCAGATGGGCGGGCCCTTCGCCAATGATAAGTTGGACGCGCGCAGGCGACGCCAGGCCCCGCGCCGCGCCATTTCATGGCGCGCCCCCGCGGCGAGAGACCCCAGTGCCGGACCGTGGGCGCCGATCTCGCGCGCCGCTGCAGGACGCGCGATTGCCCTGGGCTGCCATGACAATCGACCTTCCCAGCAAGACAATCGCTGCGCGCTGCAAACACCGCTCGCGCTTGGAGCGTTTACGCCTTACGACATTATGTCATATCACTTACATATGTAAATACATGTTGTTATTCACATGTTCCCGTGACCTACTTTCAGGCTGCTTCAAACTTATCCCACATACCAACAATTGTCCACACTACCTTCGTTATAACTTCTAACTCCCGTCTCCGCCCGGCGCTTCTTCACAAACGAACGCGCGAACAATTCTTTATGCTCGGATCTGATGGCGCCAGCCTTCGGCATCGCAACAGAAAGTGAGCCTGACGAAAGACCCAACCATATGAAGCTGCGAGTGCCGCATTGTGGGTACCGCTTTCGGTGGAGCTCTTTATGGGGCCACGCACAGTGAGGGGCGTGCCGGATTGGGCGCGGCGGTGACACGCGAACCATATCACTGGAGCCTTCGGTGGAGCATCCTCTGGGGCCACGAACCGTGCGAGTGGTGTGCCGTAATTGGTGGCGGTGACGCATGCGAACGCAGCCATCGGAACCTTCGGTGGATCTCGCTGTGGGGCCCCGTGTGAAGGGTGTGCCGTACTGGGTGGTGGTGACGCATGGGGGCGCAGCCACTGGGGCCTCCGGTGGGGCTCCCTATGGGGCCACGAGCCGTGCGAGGGGTGTGCCGTAATGGGTGGCGGTGGCGCATGATGACGCAGCCACTGGGGCCTTCGGTGGAGCCCTGTTTTGGGGCACGAACCGTGTGGGGGTGTGCCGTAATGGGTGGCGGTGACGCATGACGACGCAGCCAGTGGGGCCTTCGGTGGAGCTCCCTATGGGGCTACAAACCGTGCGAAGGGTGTGCCGTAATGGGTGGCGGTGACGCATGCGAACGCAGCCACTGGGGCCTTCGGTGGAATTCCTTATGGGGCCACGAACCCTGTGAGAAGGGGCGTGCCGGAATGGGTGGCGGTGACGCATGGGGACGCAGCCACTGGGGCCTTCGATGGAGCTCCCTCTGGGGCCACGAACCCTGTGAGAAGGGGCGTGCCGGAATGGGTGGCGGTGACGCATGAGGACGCAGCCACTGGGGTCTTCGGTGGAGCGCCCAATGGGGCCACGAACCGTGTGAGGGATGTGCCATCATGGGTGGCGGTGACGCTTGAGGACGCAAGGACTGGGGCCTTCGGTGGAACTCCCTATGGGTCCACGAACCGTGAGAGGGGTGTGCCGGAATGGGTGGCGGTGACGCATAAGGACGCAGCCACTGGGGCTTTCGGTGGAGCTTCCTGTGGGGCCACGAACCGTCCGAGTGGTGTGCCGTAATGGGTGGCGGTGGCGCATGCGAACGCAGCCACTGGGGCCTTCGTTGGAGCTCCCTATGGGGCCACGAACCGTGCGAGGGGTGTGCCGTACTGGGTGGCGGTGACGCATGAGGGCGCAACCACTGGGACCTTCGGTGAAGCTCCCCGTGGGGCCACGAACCGTGTGAGGGGTGTGCCCTAATGGGTGGAGGTGACGCATGAGGACGCAGCCAATGGGGCCTTCGGTGGAGTTCCCTGTGGGGCTACAAACCGTGTGAGGGGTGTGCCGTAATGGGTGGCGGTGGCGCATGCGGACGCAGCCACTGGGGCTTTCGGTGGAAATCTCTTATGGGGCCACGAACCGTGGGAGGGGTGTGCCGTCATGGGTGGCGGTGACGCATGAGGACGCAGACGCTGGGGCCTTCGGTGGAGCTCCCTATGGGGCCACGAGCCGTGTGAAGGGGTGTGCCGTAATGGGTGGCGGTGGCGCATGCGGACGCAGCCACTGGGGCCTTCGGTGGAGCTCCCTGTGGGGCCACGAACCGTGTGAGGGGTGTGCCGTAATGGCTGGAGGTGACGCATGACGACGCAGCCACTGGGGTCTTCGGTGGAGCTCCCTATGGGGCTACAAACCGTGTGAGGCATGTGCCGTAATGGGTGGCGGTGGCGCATGCGGACGCAGCCACTGGGGCCTTCGGTGGAGCTCCCAAATTATGGGGCCACGAACCGTGTGAAGGGGTGTGCCCTAATGGGTGGCGGTGACGCATGAGGACGCAGCCACTGGGGCCTGCGGCGGAACTCCCTATGGGGCCACGACCCGTGTGAGGGGTGTGCCGTAATCGGTGGCGGTGACGCATGAGGACGCAGCCACTGGGGCCTTCGGTGGAGCTCCCGATGGGGCCACGAAACGTGTGAGGGGTGTGCCGGGCGGCGGTGACGCATGAGGACGCAGACGCTGGGGCCTTCGGTGGAGCTCCCTATGGGGCCACGAACCGTGTGAGCGGTGTGCCAAACTGATGATGATGGTGATGCTGATGACGATGATGATGGTGACGGTGATGCTGATGATGGGTCGGAGGGAGGGGGGGCAGCGGGAGGACGTGGGTGCTCTGTTCAAAACGAGGACCCAACACCACAGGATAGTTGGACAAAAAAACGGAGTCTGCTCACGCAGGCCCTACTTGTGGCTCTTGACCAGCTCCTGTTTTGGTGATGTCATCTGCGGAGACGCCTTCGAGGTCCTCGCACTCCAGCTGGAGCACGCCCCCGAGCTCGATGGGCAAGTCCTCGAGCGAGACCTCCAGAACGCTGCGCACCGTGAGATTGCTGGTCGGGCTGGCGCTGGAATGTAAGCCAAGTGAAGCTGTCTAACGAGAGTTCCGTGCAGTTCCTCCGCTTGCTGCAATTCGTCCGCCAACCGCGTGACCTCAATACGTTGTTGGTCCACTTGCAACTGTAGGTGTTCGAAATGTTGTACTGCGCGTGTGGGTCGACCTTCAGCGGCTCGTAAAACATCGCGTTCCTTGGTGATCTGCTGTTGCAGTGGGAGCTCCATTGCGGCGTTCCGGCGCGCGGCCTGTATGGCCTTGTACCTCTGAACTCCTGCAAGATTCCCCGCTTTCTCCAAAGTGTTGACGAGTGCTTCCAACTCTTCGTTGCCCAGCTGAGACACTGCGGTGCCTTGTCCACCTCCAGCAGGAAGACGAGCAGCGTCAGCAGCAGGACGAAGAGGCGAACCCTCCCAGCCGCTGCCCCATTGGCCAGGAAGGGGCGAGCTCGCCCAGACGCCCATGCGTGGTGGGGGACCGCTGAGGGAGGGCAAACTGCGAATCGAGCCACAATGCTTGCAGACGCTGCAACTCGGGTAGTTCCTCTTGCATCGGCAGTACGAGCAAGCCTACGTAAGCCCCAGGCGACGGGGATAGCTTGGGCTTCTGCCGATGGGCGATGGCGGCTGCGTGCTCTGGCCCAGAGCGCCCACCTTGGAGCCCGAAGAGGAGAGGAAACAACGCGAACGGACTGGATCCCACCATCGGGGCGAAGCCTGCCGCCTTTGCCGCCTCCTTTTGCCCACATGCGGTATCCCCTCCCCGCGTGCACTGCGGCGCCGCGAACATGGCATCGACAACAGGAATGGAATCGTGATAACTAGGATGCTTGGAGTCGCGAGCTCCAGGCCAGTGAGACTCAAAAAGAATCAGAAGAACACGCCTCAACTGCTCGAGCCCGGGTTGGAAGTTCAGGAGAAGGCCCCTTGAGACAAAATGGCTACGGAGGGAGGAGGAGGACGACGACGACGAGGAGGAGGAGGAGGAAGAAGAGGAGGACGAGGAGGAAGGGGAGGAGGAGGAGGAGGAGGAGGAGGAGGAGGAGGAGGAGGAGGAGGAGGAGGAGGCAGAGGATCGAGGAGGAGGAGGAGGAGGAGAAGGGGAGGAGGAGGAAGGGGAGGAGAAGGAGGAGGAGGAGGAGAAGGAAAAGGAGGAGGAGGAGGAGGAGGTCTCGCCCCATCCCCCTGGACCGGTGTTCCATCCTGAGTCGTATTTTCGACGGCCCCGACGGCCTGCAAGGGCCTCAACACAGGGAAAAACCTCGCGTCCTGAGTTTTGTCATTACCCGGGGGGGCCGGAGAGGTTCCCCGAGATGGGCAGGGACCGACCGTCCTGGCCTTCCTATAACACTACCACGAAATGTGCTTAGAACCACCACTTCTTGTTATAAGAGGGTCCTGTGATTAGAACATGAAGCCGATGTGTTACAGTACGGGCCCGACCACGAGAAAGCTTCCACAAGAAACCCAATCATGAAACCCTTGGACCTCCATTGATCTTTGGAGTGGGAAGTCACGGTCTCCAAAGCAGAACCAGCGAAACCCAAGAATGGCAGGGCACCCTGGAGGCAAGCAGGATGTCTCTTGGCACGGCCTTCCACTGCAAGACACGACAGCAGCAGCCAGAAATGTCCGAGGCACGTTTCGTGCAAACCACAAGAGTCTCTCAGATCGTTGTTTGGCGGGCCTATAAGGAACCCGGACCCCTTAGCCCCTGCTTGACCCAGGGACCTCCCCTTCCGATCCCCCCCCGCTCACCCTCATCTCGCGCGCGGGGCGCCGGCGCGTCACGGTGCGCCGAGGGGGGCCGAGCCTGCCAGCGGGGGGGGGAAACAAGACGCAGGGGGGGGGGCAGACCCTCGCGGGCAGGGGAGGCGAGGACGAGGATGAGGATGAGGATAAAGACAAGGGTGAGGGTGAGGACGAGAACGAGGATGCTGATGATGCTGATGATGCTGATGATGCTGATGATGATGATGATGGTTATGATGGTGATGCTTGTCCTGATGATGATGATGATGATGCTGATGATGCTGATGATGATGCTGCTGACGATGATTATGGTGATCGTGATCATAATCATAATGATACTGGCGATTATGATGATGATGATGATGCTTGTGATGGTAATGCCGATGATAATGAGGACGAGAATGATGATGATAACGACAACGACGACGATGATGATAATGATGATGATGATGATGCTGATGATGAGGGATGGTGATGGTGATGGTGATGCTGATGATGACGACGATGGTGATGACGATGATGATACTGAAGACGATGAGTATGATGAGGATGATGATGATGATGATGATGATGATGATGATGATGGTGATGATGCTGAGGATGATTATGATGATGCTGATGCTGATGCTGATGATGATGATGATGATGATAATAATGCTGCTGATGATGCTGATGATGAGGATGAGGGCGATGAGGAGGCTGAGGAGGAGGAGGACAAGGAGGCGGAGGAGGCGGATTGAGGAGGAAAGGGAAGGAAGACAGATGATGGGAGGAGGAAGAAGGCGAGAGTCTGGGCTATTTCCTGCTGCATCGGGGGCCTTCCGAGCAAGCGGCCCTGTCAGGAGTCGCACGATGCCGAAGCACGGCCTGTCCGAGCTATCGAGCGTGCTGCAATAGAGGGCGTGGGATGTGGTCGGGTGACGTCCGTCCCACAATCCTGACGGCCTTCCCCCGAGTCCTTACACTCCTTGGTTGGCAAAATGAGGGGGTCCCGCGGATCACCAACCGCCTCTTCGACCAGGAGAGGAAAGCTCCTAGGAGGAGGAGGATGTGGTTGTGGGGCCTCGAATGGTGGACCTTCGGACTCTGGGGGTGTCTGGGGCAGTCTCCCTGGACGTGTCCTTCATTTTACGGGACTCCCCTCCGTCGAGAATGTCACCAACGAGCTCAAACTTGTCGACATGAGGCCCCTTCTGCCAGTCAGTGAGCTGCAGCATCCGAGCTCCGCCCTCGGCGGGCTTGTCTGCCGCCGTGCTGCCTGCCTGTCCAGAGCCTGGCCCCCCCCCCCCTGTCGGTGCGCTGTGCCCGAGGCGCATGGGCCTTGACCGTGTGTTACGATGACCGTGGAACGCCCGAGAGCCCCCGTAACCTGAGGTCGGGCATGTCCTCCTGCAGGCGGGCTTTTTGGATGACAATTACGATAATCGAAACATGCTCCCAGATAGTTACAAAGGCACTAGAAGTCGTCCCCAGACGATCGTTGTGCTACTCTTTGGGTACTTCTCCTTTAGAGGGACATGTCCGACTTACAGTCAAAACGTATGATAAGGATGCGTGGTAAGGACGCAAGACCCTTGGAGGCCGAAGTAAAAGTATTCAGGCGGTCAAACCCCTAGGGAACCTGAGAAACTGGCCTGCGAAAATTGCTAGGGACGGGCCGCAGAGGCTGAGGCAGGCAAGGACCCAAGGGTACCCTTGAAAAAGTCGTTTGTCCTTACTGGGCGCGTTGACTGTACGCCTTGACCCTGTGAGTTCCAACGGCTGTGGAACACCCGAGCCCCCCGAGCTCCCCGAGAGCCAGCCGGCAACGCGTCTGCCACACAGAGAGCCGGGGCACGGGAGGAGCCGGAAGGGGAGCAGGAGAGGTGAAGTGCAGGGAGGGAGGGAGGAGGAGGAGGAGAAGGAGGGGGAGGAGGAGGAGGAGGAGGAGGAGGAGGAGGAGGAGGAGGAGGAGGAGGAAGTGGAGGAGAGGAGAGGTGGAGGTGCAGGGAGGGAGGGAGGGGGAAGAGCCAGGAGGGAGGGAGGGAGGATAGAGAACGAAAAAACGGCATGAGCATGAACTTTTGGCGCTCCGCGCAGACTTCTCGGATCTGCGCTGGAACCCCCCCTCGCTGGCGCGCAGAGCGCGCCAGGGGCGGCGCCAGAGGCGCCGCCAGGGGGGGGGGTCCAGCGCAGATCCAGGAAATCCGCGCGGAGCGCCAAAAGTTTATGTTTATGCCTCTGTGCTTTTTCTTCTTCGAGAGGAGGGAGGCCGGAGGGAGGGAGGGAGGAGTGATGGGGGGCATGGGGGGGGCGATCCAGGCGCGCTCGCGTCGCATCCTGGGAGCCCACCCCTGCCTTCAGCCCACCCCGACTGCGATTACTTCCAGTTTGCCCATGCGGCGAGTCGGGTGCTGGATCGGACCTCTAAAGGTCTCCTGGTTGGGGTCGGAGCAGATGGGGTCGGAGGATCGCGCCGCATCGCCGATACATCGCCGATGCATCGGCGATTCACCGGCGATGCATCGTCGACGAGAGCGGTGCATCGGCGACGTCGACGTGAAGCAAATCGGGCTCCACATCGAGCCGCATCGGCGATGCGACCCCATCTACTCCGACACCATCAGGGAAGCCTAGAACCTCGCTGCATATGCAGCGCGTGGCCGGGCGCCCCTTGGCGCGAGGGACGGAGCGGCCTGGAGCACGACGTGCGGAGAGAGGTCGTGGGACACCCTGGTGGTTGAAGAGAACGCGCGCACAATCAAAACCCTCAGTCATATCTAACGTCCAAATCCTCCTCCCCCTCCTCCTTTTCCTCCTCCTCCTCTTCCTCCACCCCCTCCTACTCCCCCTCCTCCTCCTCCTCCTCCTCCTCTTCCTCCTCCTCCTCCTACACTTCGCCGTGTTCGGGGCAGGCACACTGATGCCGAGGCCCCTGCGCTTCGTCGGCGCAGAGCAAAAGAGCAAAGGAAATGAATGGGGGGGCGCAATGAGCTAGGCCTTTTAGGGAGGTGGAGGAAGGCAAGGGGCGCCTGTCCGGCGTGTAATTGAGGGATGCAATAAATGCCCCTACCCTGGGTTACAAATGGGTGGTCTGTTAACCTCCTGGGAACTCCCAAAAGCTAGAGAAACGCCAGGACGCCGCGCGGCACGCGCCATATGCAGGGTTTACCCTGTCAGCCCTCAGGAGGTTCAGCGCACAGCGCCTCGTAAACCAGAGTGAAGGCGTCTCTTACGCCGTGGATGTAAGGCGCTTTTCCGTTTGAGTCAACGTCGTCGTCGTCGCCAGTCGCCAGGAAATAGAGAAACAAGGAAAGGGAACGTCGTAGTCAAGTCGAAGGGAAGCCCCTGCCCTTTTTCCCTTCCCTGCCGGCAGGGTGGAGGGGAATGGGGTGGGGTATGGGGGGGGGGTAGTGGGGGTAGTGGGCAGGGGGGGAGACGATCATGCGTATATATATACACACACATCATAGGGCGGTAATGGTGCCATGCAAAGATCGGCTCAGGATGCGTTCCAGAATGTCCCAACTGTGACATCGTTTTTGCGGCCCGCGTGGAGCATCCAGAACTACGGGACATCCTGAAAACCTTGGAAACCTCAAGCGTATCATTTTCATTGACTGCAGCTCTCCGGACATAGAAAGTAAGGTGCTGAAATCCTGTGCAAAACATGTTTAGCAATGAGAGTACCCCAACCCTTTGGGAGGTGACCTAGGTTAGGAGGGCCAACAAACAAAGGATAGAGTTTTTTTTTCTGCAGATGTATCAAACCAAACAGCACAGATGTATCATCCCTAATGCGAAGGCGGGGGCCATGTGAAGCCACGTCTTCATCGTGCTGTTCGGGTTAGGGGTTCTTTGGTTCTCGATGAAGCAGTGTGCGGAAATCTTGTGCGAAACGCAATGCATGGGAGAAGCGGGATAACAACCGCTCAATACAGTCACCATGCTGCCATGAGGAGCAATGATGACTGGGAACGACGGGGTGTCTCTGGCCACGACGCTCAAGTCGGGCATGCCCTCCTAGAGGCGGGTTTAAGACAGAACATATATTGAGGGATGAAAAAAACGACCCTACCCTGGGTTACAAGTGCGTGGTCTGCAAACCTCCTGGGAACGCCCAAAGCCTAGAGCCGCCAGGACGCGGCACATCACGCTTGGTCTACCCTGTCAGCGCACAGGAGTTTCAGCGCACAGCGCCTCGTAAACCAGGGCAGGGGCGTTTTTCTGTTTTCCTGCCCTTGAATAAGATAATCAAGCAGTGGGCCAAAGAACACGAGACTGGTGACGAAAAGCATCGTCCCCAGACTACGTTGGGACTCTTTTTTTGGAACCTCCCTCCTGCAGAGAGGCACCTGCCCGACTTCTATTTAACGCCAATTCGTGGGCGCAGCGGCAGAGAGCCGACCGCCCGACACGGCCGCCGCGCCATGCCACGAGGAGGAGCGCCCGACCGGCCACCCGAGGGGCGCCGGGGCCCGCCGGTCGCTAGCCACGACGCGCGCCCCGGCCACGCGCGGGGCCCCCCGAGCTGCAGCTGACTACCCACCAGACCACCCCAACCCAACCCGAGGACCCGAATTTCGGGGGGGGGGGGGGTAAGGGTTCCACATGTGTTTTTTCGATGTTTCCCGCCCCCCCCCCCACTGGAAATCGAGGGAACATATGAGCCTTCGGGTTGGGTTGGGGTGGTTTGGTGGGTGGTGAGCAGCAGGGGCCCATGGCACGAGGAAGCTTCCCCACGAGAGAGACCCCAAAGCCCCGAGGCTCCAGGGCGTCCGTGGATTTTTGGTGTGGGGGCGTCATGCCTTCCACGGTCAAGGCATCGAAGCCCAAGAAACCGAGAGCACCCTGGCACGAGGAACCTTCCACGAGAGAAGCCCGGCCCCGAGGCTCCAGGACGTCAATTCGGCGGTGGACACACCTCCCTTTAGCAAGCCTCCCCTTAGTGAGAACGGCCTGGGGCCGAAACCGACGGACCTGGACCCGCAAAAATGACGGCCGCGACGCCCTCCCGCGAACCGAAAACGGCCGATTCCTTAACCGGCATGTCAGGGTGGGGGGTCTGTCCCCTCCCGATCCATGGATTTTTGGTGTGGGAGCGTCGTGCTCTCCACAGGCAAGCCATGGAAGCCCAAGAAGCCCAGAGCACCCGGGAGGCGAGCGGGGCGTTTTTTGTTGGCAGGGGACTCCCCTGCAGATCTACGGGGTGGCCCAAACAAAACGTAAGACGAAGCCAGGCGGGTGAAGATAAATCCCCAAACATGACCGCGTCGTGAAAAATCGAGGTGGGGGGGTTTGGGCCATTTTCGGCCTCGGGGGGTCCTCGCCGGGCCTCGGGACCGTCAAAAACGACTCAGGATGAAGAACCGGTCCCGGGGAAAGGGTCGGGACTTCCAAGAAATCAGGACGTCGCAAGTCTGGGTCGAGAATCTCGGAGATCTGGCGGCTCTGGAGGATGTCTCGGGCGCCACGGCCTTCTCAGAGCGCTTCGGAACGCTCTGAGAGCGTTCCGGATCGCTCTGGAACGGATTTCTCCTCATCCTAGCGGATTTCTTGGATCGGCCATGGACCCACTCCCGGGAGCGCGGAACGCGCCAGCGACAGCGCCGACCAAAGAAGTCCGCGCGGCTCTGAGCACGTTTACGCGACGATCGTTCTTACTCGAGAGATCGGCGGCGATCGAGGGGGGGAAATGAGGAGGAGAAGCTTCTCAGGAGGCGGCGGGGCTTCTCAGAAGCCCTCGAGCCATCTGCGAGGATTTTTGTATCTTCGCGGAAGACTGAGGACACTTCTCAGAAGGACCTCCGAGCCTTCTGAGAAGGCCCGCCACTTCTCACTTCCCCCCCCGCTCGCCGCCGACCATAGAGGTAAGAGCCACAGCTCCCAAAACATTCGACGTGTTGTTCCTCAACCTGGCTTTCCAAAAGTCTGGACCCCTTGCCCTGGACCAGCATATCACCCCGAGACGTGTCTTGCTCGATGGCCCCCTGGGGCCCGGTGACGGCCCTCCCAACACCGAAAGCGGCCAAGAGCCTCCCGTGGCAGTTTTCTAAGGCGAAGCCAGGACGAGGATAACATCGGGTGATGATCACTCGAGAATCTCTGAGGTCTGGCGGCTCTGGAGGATGCTTCGGGCGCCGCGGCCTTCTCAGAGCACTCAGGAATGTTCTGAAAGCGTCCTGGACCGCTCCGGAACGGATTTCTCCTCATCCTAGCCCCGTCCGTGGTCCTTGGTTTTAAAACAAATGCAAGGTTCGCTCGGGACTGGCTCCCCTTCAAAACAGCCGAAACTCTCCCGAGACCCTCCAGAAACTCTCCGGGAAGGGTGCCGGGAGGCGTTTCGGAAGGTTTCGGGAGGGGTTTGGAAGGGTTTTCGTCGTTTGGGGGGAAACCAGTCCTTGGCAAACCTTGGGTTTTCTAATCTTAGCTCAACATCTTGACTATATTGTATACTCATGGTCGGAGGGGAAGGGTAAGACAGAGAGAGGGAGAGAGAGACGCAGCCGACCAGCCAGAATTGAGGGGAGCTGTACTCTTAATTACCCCCCTGGGGGGAGCCCCTCGTATCGACGGACCCCTCGATTAGAATAGTGAAACTAGCATTAAACATGCGCGCTCCGTGAAGGGTGCCGAGAGGCTTTTTCGGAGGGTTTCGGGAGGGGTTTGGAAGGGTGTTCGCCGTTTGGGGGGGAAGCCAGTCCCTTGCGAACCCTGAGCTTCTTATAACCTCTGGTCAGCGTCTTGACTGTACTGTATGATCGCGGATCTATCCTCGTCCAAGCCCCGTCCGATTCTCGTCAAGACGCGGAGCAGTCAGGGACCACAGCTCCCCCAGCGTCGTCGCCGGTCCGAGCAGGTCGGCTGCACGCCAGAGGGACCCTGGGCACGAGACGGGCCTTTGGTGCGCGGCCTCCTTGGGCCAAGCTCGAACGCACGGGCCGCTGCCAGCGGACAGTCCACCCGCACAGTGAGGATGCGCGTGAAGGACGCAAGGTCCTTGGAGGACGCCCCTTTCGAGGCTTCTTCGGGCGGGGCGCGGCCAACGCAAGCGGCCAAGGATGATGCACCGAGGAGGCAAGGATGCCAGGGTAATTTGAAGGGGCCCTGGGTCACACAAATAAATACACACAAACAAACATATTCCCCATATTTTCCCATATGTTCTGGGTTTTTGTCTTCCCGTCCAATTCCCATATTTTTATATTTTCTTGGGAATCAACGATTAATTGTGTCTGTGTTTCTTCCCCTCCTGGTAATTACCCTTGGGGAGGTGGCCCGTCCTTACTGGTGCGGGTGGACTGCATCGCGCTCGGCAATCGGGGGGCCCCACGTGGGCAAGCACCAGAGGCTACCCCGGCGAGGGGCCCCACGGACGTGAGCGGCGAGAAGGAACGGGCCCCACGCGCGATGGCATATAGCGTTAAGTCGGGCGTGTCATCCTACAGGTCAATTTTAGACGAAGAAGAAAAACACACCCCAAAAATCTGTGAAAAATGTTTAGAAATGGGTATAACATCGTCCCCATACCATTTTCTGACTATTTTGAATACTCCCTCTGTACAGGGATAGGCCCGACGTGAATATGGCGACGTGGCGCCGCGGCGTACGCGGGCCGCCCGCGCGGCACGCCACGCTGGCAGCGAAAGCGCTCGCGCACCGCCTCACGGCAAGCTCATGCCGTGACGGCCCCCGGCGCTGGCTCTCGGCACCGCGGGGACCGTTCAACCTTGAACGATGGGCCATTTCCGCAACGTCAGATCGTTCAACATCGACCGACTCTGGGTCACTGGCGGTGCTCCACGCTGCACGCTGGCGGCGGGGTCGCCGCTGGTCGACACGACGCGAACCTACCGTACGCGGGCAGCTTACGCGCGCCAGTGTTGGTGAAAACGACCTCGGTTTTCCTGCGTCGCTCTCGCGTATGTAGGCTTAAGTCGCGCACGTCCTCCTACAAGCGGATTTTATAAGAGACATGAAAAATACTCACGCTCAAGACTAGTGAAAGAAATCATAAAAGAATCGCCCCCAGAGTATTTATTGACTATGTTTGAATATTCTTTCTGTCGAGGAACATGCCCGACCTAAAAGAAAGCGTGCGTGCGCCCCAAAGGTCCGGACCCCTTCTAAAGAGCCGGAGTGTCGTCCTGAATCGTTGTTTGACGATCCGGAGGCCTGGCGGGGGCCCCGAGGGACCGACAACGGCCAGAAACCGCTCGCTCCGCTTTTTTGGAGCGTCGGATCGCTGGGCACGTGCATTGAGCACGGACCGACCGTCCCAGCATTCCTATAGGCCTACCACGACATGTTCTTAGAACCCAGAACCCAGAAACGTTCTAAGAACAAAAGCAATATTCTTAGAGCATACACCCCATGTGCTAACACACGACAGTCTCAGCCAGAACTGTTCTAACAACACTTGTCGTGCAGGGCCGAACCTATAAACGGTGTCTTTCGTTGTCGTTTTGTTTTCGTTTCCCCTCGTTGTGTCTTCCATCCGCCCTTGCCGCAAAACGAAGCCGAAACGAAAACACGTGCCACGAAATCGCCAAAATGCCGCTTCGGCCCAGCCCTGTCTTCGTGCACATCACAACAGGTTCCTAGAACATTGCCTGGTGGGCCTCGAGAAGGCCAGCCGGCACGCTTCGCCACTGCTCTCGGAGGAGGGCAACGTGAGACAACGGCCGTGAGACAACGGTGGCCACATCGGCTCAAAATCGGTCCCCGGACCCCTCCCGGGGCCCAAACGCACCGACTTTTCACGCTGCGCCCAGCCGTGGCGACGAGAAGGCCCCTCGGAGGCGAAAAAGGCAAAAGCGTCACCCTTGTCTCACCCTGCCCTCCTCTGACGCTCGACTGCCGGCGAGGAGGCCGCGCGGCCCGATCGTTGAGCAGGGACCGACCGTCCCTGCACTCCTATAGTCTCAGAACAAAAGCAATGTTCTTAGAACATATTCCCGATGTGTTGAACCAAGACGCTCTCCGGCTGAAATGTTCCAACACTTCCTCGGAGCCACAAAAGGTTCTTAGAACATTGCTTGGTGGGGCTATAGGCGAGCCAGGACGCTTCACCACTGCTTCAGCCACTGCTCGACTGCCGGCGAGGCGGCCGCGCGGCCCCATCGGGCGGCCTGCGCCCGGCCACGCCGGCAGCGGCGAGCGCAGCAGCACCGGCCCGGTGCTGCGGCGGCCTCGGCGGGCCGCCGCCCGCCCGCTCGCGCCCGCTCGCTCGTGCCTCCCGCCCGCCCGCCCGCTCGCGAGCCCGGCCCCGCGGGGCTGCCGCGGCTCCTCCCCCTCCTCCTCCTCCTCCTCCTCCTCCTCCTCCTCCTCCTCCTCCTCCTCCTCGATCCTCCTCCTCCTTCTCGATCCTCTGCTCCTCCTCCTCGATCCTCCACCTCCTCGATCCATCTCCCCCTCCTCCTCCTCCTCCTCCTCCTCTCCTCCTCCTCCTCCTCCCTCCTCCTCCTCCTCTCCCTCCTCCTCCTCCTCCTCCCTCCCCCTCCTCCTCCTCCTCCTCCTGGGGCGCCCTTGGCAACCCCCGAGCTGGCGGCGGGGGGCCGCCGAGGTCTGCCAACCCTGCCCCCCGGCGCCCTGCCCCCCCTCCCTCCCCCCCTGGCAGTAAGTCGGGCGTGTACGCAAAAAATGCCCCCTAAATATTCAAACATAGTCAAAAAGTTGTCCCCTGACTATTTTTTCTATTTTTGAAGATTCCCCCTGTAGAGGGACACGCCCGACTTAACCCTGGCACCCCATCGCCCCCATCCTGCGGGGGAACGGGAGGACGGGGACTGGCGCAGGGGGGGGGGGGGCGGGAGCATCTAGCTGGAATCGGCGACACATCGCCGATAGACTCGGCAATCGGACACCGATAGCGACACCGCACGTTCCTGGGCGGGGTGGGCTATCAGACCCCCAGCGGCACTGAATGCGCAAGTTAGAATCGACGCTTTCCCCCCTGAGCCTACTCCCCCCCTAACGTTGCCCTGACTTCCCCCTCCCCCTCCTCCCCTGGGGGAACAAAAAAGGTACCCATACCGCTGCTGCCTGGACCTCTCCCGGGAAGCGTTCAAACCAGAATTTCAAAGAGAATCCAGCCGTGGCGACGAGGGCATCCTGGGAGGCCCAGACATGCGAAAACGAGGCAATGCGCAGCGGTACCGAGCACCTCTCTCTCTCCACTGACCCCATCCTGCTGCTCCTCCTCCTGATGCCGCCCCGCGCTGACCCCGTGCCCAGCAACATTCCACTGATCCGAGGGGCAACGATGGGGGGGGGGGGACTGACACAGGGAGGGGAAACACATCGACCAGGAATCGGCGATGCGTCGCCCGTGGATCGGCGCTGGGCCCCCGAGCGCAACTCCCCACGCTCCTGGGCAGGGGGAGGCCATGGGACCCCTGCCGGCGATCAGTGGTCGGTTGGGGGCCTGCACGTCCGCCCCCCCGTGCCCATCCCCCTATCGCTTCGGCGGCGAGCGGGGGGGGCGGACTCGCCATCGCTCGGACGTCCATTCCTCGTGTATCTTTTGATTTCGGGCGTGTTTTTTCGCCAAATGATCAAGGATGGTCCTCGATTGGCCGTCGCCGAGAAAAAATGCACACGTCCGAGCGATGCCAAGGGGACGACAAAAAGGAGACAGCCTTCTCAGAAGGCAGCCGGACTTCTCAGCAGCCCTCGCGCAATCTGAGAGGTTTGCTGTTGTGCATGTCTCCAGGGAGGGCTCGGGCATCCTCCCACAAGGCCTGGGGACTTCTGGCTCTCACTTCCCCTCCTCTCCTTGTCACTCTCACTCCCCCTTCTCCTTCTCCCCTTCTCACTCTCGCTTCCCCTGCTTCCGAGCCTGCTGGGAAAGCCTTCCCAGATATGCGACGTCCCGATTCCTTCAATACGGGGCCCCTGGAAATCCCGACCCTTTCCCTGGGACCGCTTTCTCATCCTGCGTCGCTTTTAACGGTCCAACGGGGCCCGGCGAGGGCGCCCCGAGGCCGAAAACGGCCTGAACCCCCCGTCCTGATTTTCTGTACGGCGCGATCATGCTTGGGGTCTCCTCCTCGCCCCCCCCCCCCTCTCGCTCAGTGCCGACCGTTGCCTCCGAGACACGCCCCGCTGCCCCCGCGACTGGGCTCTGCCCGCGGGCAGGCGTGCTGATCTTCTCGCTCTCTTCCTCCTCCTCCTCCTCCTCCTCCTCCTCCTCCTCCTCCTCCTCCTCCTCCTCCTGCTCTTGCTCCTGCTCCTGCTCCTCCTCCTCCTCCCTCCTCCTCCTCCTCCTCTCCCTCCTCCTCTCCTCCTCCTCCCTCCTGCTGCCCCTCCTCCTCCTCCTCCTCCCTCCTCCTCCTCCTCCTCCTCCTCCTCCTCCTCCTCCTCCTCCTCCTCCTCCTCCTCCTCCTCCTCCTCCTCCCTCTCTGTGCGGGGAGGGCCCCCCGGCGAGCGTCGCGCGTGGCGCCCCTCCACGCCCCAGGGGCCCCGCTGCTCTGCTGCGCCGCCCGCCGAGGGGTGTTCGCAGCACTCGAGAGATGTATGCACTTTGACAACAGAAATCTCTCTCTCTCTCTCTCTCTCTCTCTCCCTCGACGAGGGGGGGTCTACGCTTCTCCTGGCTCCCTTCCTCCTCCTCCTCCTCCTCCTCCTCCTCCTCCTCCTCCTCCTCCTCCTCTTTATCGTCCTCCTCCTCCTCCTCCTCCTCCTCCCTCCTCCCTCCTCCTCCTCAGCCGCTGTCCAGGTTCGGGGTTTTCGGAGCAGCAGTTGCGAACCTCCTAAGGCAGTGGGGTCAGTACAGCCCGAGAAGCCCCCCCCCAGAGGCCCCCACGAGGCCCACCAAGAGCCTCCCACATGCCCCCGCGAGTTCTCCCAGAGGCCCCAGAGGGGATCCCAAAAGAACCTCTCACTCATCTGGGAGGCTCCTGACGCAATGTAAAACTTCCACGATCGGCTCAAACACTCACTCCTTGCGGGTGTCGGCGGAATGGCGAACAAAAACACTTGAATTACTTGTTAATGACAGGTACATGCAAATCCATAGACATTGCAAGATAATGAATCGATAGCAAGGACGTATCCAGATTATCCCCGAGTTCCCCTCCTCTAGACCCAGAAGCCCCCTCGGGTGACGAGCCAAAGACACGGCGGGAGGTTTCGGCAATGTCCTGCCTCTGGAGGCCCTCGACGGCCCCCAAATCGTCAGCGAAACGGCTGCGGATGAAGCACCTGTCCCGGGGAAGCGGTCGAGAACTCCGAGGGTCTACGTCGTGAAACAATCGTGACGTCGGGGGTCCGGGGGCGGCCCGATCCTTTTGACCAGGGCAGTCGCGCTCCCGGATTTTGGGCGAACAGCGGAAAATTGCCAACATCGAAATACTCCAACAGAGCCAACACAGATAATCGACAGGATCGTCCCCAGACTCTTTGCTTCTGCTATGTCTGGTGACTCCTCCTGCAGAGGGACACGCCCGACGGGAGCTTCGGGGGGGATCTCGGGCGTGGCGCGGGGGGGGACATCGCCAGCGAGAGATCCCGTCCTTTCGCCCCCTCGTCTCCCCTCGAGGAGGCCCCGCCCCTCCAACGTTGCCCGCTCCCAGAGCGCGCGGCAGTGGGCCGTGGTGGTGCGCAGCAGCAGCGGCAGGGCAGCGGACGCGCGGGCGGCGCTGGCAGAGTGGGGGGGGGGGGGCGGGCAAGGCGGTGCAGGGCTGGGCAGCTCACTGAAGCACACGGGTCCATCAGTAGGGGAAGGAGGGATGACATCAACAAATTGACTCGGAGGTCCGCGCGGATCGCTCGGATCGGGGTTGGGCCCCTCCCTGGCGCGCGGAGCGCGCCAGGGGCGGCGCCAGAGGCGCCGCCAGGGGGGACCAGCGCGGATCCGAGAAGTCCGCGCGGATCTCCGAGCTTTTATGTTTATGTCATTCTTCGTTCCCCCAATCAGAGGAGCGCGGTGGGAAGCGAGGAGGTGGAATGCAATCCGAAACAATGAGACGCCAGGCGGGTCAGAGCACAGCGAGGAAGCTCGGAGCAGCAGACCCAACCGCATCAGAACAGGGCAGCGCAAATCCAAGCGACGCAATGAAACGCACTGCGCTGCACAGCACCGCAATGCTCATCAGACTGCTTCAATTCAGAGAGCGTCGCAGCGTACTGGGGAGACCAAAAGTACCGATACCGCTACTCCTCGGACTTCTCCCGGGGCGCGTTCTGACAAGTATTTCAAGGCGAATCTAGCGGTGGCGACGGGGGCCTCCCAGGAGGCCGAAAAAGGAGACAACGGGCGAAGAATAGCTGTATGGGTATGTACCTTTTCCTCGTCCGAGAAGACATGTGGCAGCCTTTCCAGTCCCCGCTGTGTGTGCTTGTGCGTGACGCCGCAGCGGAGCCGCGCCAGACTCTTTTTTTTACCCCGCCGCCCTCGGCCGAAGCGCCACGCGGTGGATGGGCAGGCCCTCGCTCAGATAGTACCTCTCCGTCTCCGACGCGGCCTCGGATGCCCGCGGCGACGCTGCCAGCCCCGCCGCAGCCGCCGTCGCCGTCGCCGTCGTCGTCGTCGTCGTCGTCGTCGTCGTCGTCGTCGTCGTCGACGCAGCCTCGGGCGCCAGCGGCGATGCTGCCAGCCACCCCGGCCCCGCAGCGCGGCGGCCGCCCAGGCGCACGTGGCGCAGCTGGCGCCGGGGCAGCCACGTGCTGGCACCCTCCGGGTCCACGGCGTCGTCCACCGAGGGCCCGAGGGAGCCATCCTTCCATGGGGCCCAGGGACAAACTTTTTCCCTACCCAGGCTCTGCCTAGAAGGGCTCTTACTCGGAAGCTTAAATGGCCAGGCAATGGGGCCCGCCCCGGGCGGTTCCCCCAGTATCCGCCCCGCGGTTCCCCCAGTTACGTCCCCTTAGCTTAGCGTTGCTTATCTCATCTTAGCTTAGCTTATTTCATCGTAGCTTGGGCTAGCTCAGCTTAGCTTCGCTTAGCGCAGCGCAGCACTAGCATAGCGTAGCATAGCATAGCATGACATAACATATCATATCGTAGTATAGTATGGCATAGCGCAGCATCGCATAGCGCAGCTTAGCATAGCAAAGCAAAGCAAAGAAAGTCATATCATCGCATAGTGCGGCATATCATAGCATAGCATAGCTTAGCATAGCACAGCGCATCATAGCATATCATTCGCCGACCACAGCGCAGCATGCCATAGCATAGCATAGCGCATCACATCATGCCATATCATAGCATAGCGCAGCATAACATAGCATTGCATAGCATAGCAAAGCGCAGCATCTAATATCATAACATAGGCTATCATAGCATAGCATGGCGCATCATATCATAGCATATAATAGCATAGCGTAGATGTAGATGTCGTTTCCCTAGATGCTTCAACTCCTAGGTAGGGCCGCACTGGGATAATTTGGTCTGCGGGTCGGGAGCGGGCCCCTTCAAGTCAAGAGCTAAACGGGGCGCGAGTAGCCCTAATTGGGGAGACAGGGCGCGGGCGGGCAGGGCCTCAGGCGGCCAGAGGGCTCAGAGTACAGGCGGTGCCGAAGATCTTGCACAGGACAAGGGACGCCATGGACGGGGCCCAGGCACAAACAAACAAATAGGCACAGATCCCAGCGGCGTGTGGAAGAGGCTCTTTCTTCGGTCGCTGTTGCACTCGCCGTCTCGTCGTCGTCGTCGTGGTCATCGTCGTCGTCGTCGTCGTCGTCGTCGCTGTCGCCGTCGCCAGTGCTGGCTTTCTCCTGGGTCTCCTTCTCCAACGCGCCAGCCGTTGCCTCTCTTACCCTTGGCCATTCTCTTCGAGCTTGCCAGCCCAAACGACAATAACTAACGTCGCAATTCATTCGAAGGGAAGCCCCGCGGGGGCGGGGGTCCCAGGAGGGGTCCCGGGGACGATCCGGGGGAGGGGGGTCCCGGGGAGGGTCCCGGGTCAGAACGCCCCCCCCCCCCCCCTCTGGGGGCTCCCGAAGCCCAAAACCACCCAAGATGAACCAAAACTGTCTCAAGAGGCCGCCAAGACGGTCCTAGAGGGCCCCGAATCGCCGAACTATCGCTCCAAGACGCCAAAGTAGCCTCCAGACGGCCCAATAGGTTTCGAAGAAGCCCTAAGAAGCCTCCAAGAGCACTTCCAAAAGGACCCTAACAGGCAAACATGATCAATTGTCGTCCAAGAAGGTGTTTGATAGATTTTGGGATTATCGCCTTATCGGCTTCCCGACAATCCAAGATGGCCCAAAAGGCCCCCAAGATCGCCCCAAGGTAGCACAAGAGGCCGCCGAGAGGGCCCCAAAACGACCCAGGAGGACCCCAAGACGACCCAAGAGGCCTCCAAGACGGCCCAAGAGGCCGCCCAAACGACTCCAACAGAGTGCCCAAACGAGGGACCCCAACGGACATTTCGAGCCCTCGGCGTGATAGGCTCCCAGGAGGCGCCAAGAAACCCCCAAGAAGCCCCCAGGAAAACCTCAAGATGCGCACGGGAAGCCCCAAGAAGCCCCCAGAGCCTCCCAACAGGACCCCAAGAGGCTCCCAAGAGACTCCAAAATTACCCCCCAGAGGTACCCGAGAGCGCTCCGAAGAGGCCTCGAGAAGCATGCCTGAGGACTCTGACCCGTCGTCGTCGTTCAGGGTCGGCGGCACCGGCCGCAAGGCGTTTCCGGTAAATAGGAACACATCCCAGGATTCCCCATATTTTCAAATCATTTCTGGGTTTTCGTCATCCCCCCCCACTCTTCGTATCTTCCCCGATTCTCCCGGGGATCGACGATGGATTGCGTCTGTGTGCTTCTTCCCTCCTGCGTCCTCCACGGCCTCCCAGCCCCGCGACTCCGCCGCCTCACGCAGCGTCACCGCCACGTCCTCCACGTTGCTCTGCACCAGCAGCGTGCCTGCGCCGCCCGTGGCCGCCAGGCACCTGCGCGCCGCCTCCAACAGCTGGACGTTGGCCATGAACTCCGGCGACGCGGCGCTAGAGGGCAGCTGCGCGTTGCTGCTGGGCGGCGCCCCCCCGTCGGGCGCCGCGAAGGGCGTGGGGAAGTTGACCAGGATCCACTCGACAGGCCCGGCGTGGGCCTCCGCGGCGCCCAGCGCCCCGAGCGCGCTGCAGTGAGAGGGGCAGACGCCGGCACGAGGCACAACTCCTCGACCGCCCGCGCGGGCTTCTCGGCCGCATCGGCGCCGGAACCCCCTCCGCGGCGCGCGGAGCGCACCAGGGGCGGTGCTAGAGGCGCCGCCGCGGGGCCCCAGCTAGGCTCCATCCGAGGCCTATCCCCCGCCGGCCATAGATGTTCCTGAACCGATGGGAGGCTCCTCCTCTTCCTCCGCCTCCGCCTCCTCCTCCTCCTCCTCCTCCTCCTCCTCCACCTCCTTCTCCTCCTCCTCCTCCACCTCCTCCCCTTCCTCCTCCTCCACCTCCCCTTCCTCCTCCGCCTCCAGAGGAGGAGGAGGAGGAGGAGGAGGAGGAGGAGGAGGAGGAGGAGGAGGAGGAGGGGGAGGTGGAGGAGGACGAGAGGGAGGAGGAGGAGGAGGAGGAGGAGGAGGAGGAGGAGGAGGAGGAGAAGGAGGAGAAGGAGGAGGAGGAGGAGCCCTGCTCCTGAGTCCTGGGCTCGGATTTCGCCCCGCGCTCGGCGCACTCCGCGCCCTGCCCTGCCGCCGGTGGACCTGCCCGAAGCCTTGGCCTGGCGGGGGTCGGGCTCGGATCTCGCCGCAGGCCAGCGCAGATCCGATCACCCCGCTCGGAGCCCCCCTCCAAGAAGGTGAAGGAGGAGAAGGAGGAGGAGGAGGAGGAGGAAGAGAAGGACGAGGAGGAAAAATAAGAGGAGGAGGAGGCGGAGAAGGAGGAGGAGGAGGAGGAGGTCGAGCGTGCCCAAAGGGGTTCTGTTTTGACGTCGAGCGTGCCCAGAGGAGGAGGAAGAGGAGGAGGAGGAGGAGGAGGAGGAGGTGGAGGAGGAGGAGGAGGAGGCGTTCTGGCCGAGGAACCAGGGACGTCGCCCCGCCCGGGCCGCGCCCAGGCGTGGCGCCGCCATGGCGGAGAGGATGCCCGCGACCAAGAGCCAGCGCCGCATCATGAACGAGGACAACGACAACATCCGCAACGAGATTTGCACGGGCCCATACGGGCCTGGGCCTCCACGGCTCGAGGCTCAATCTCACATGAAGGCATACCGCAGACTGGCATACGCAGCACGTCGAGGGCGCATCGCCGTGGACGACCTCATAACCATCTCTTCTCAGAGGAACGCCAGGCCTACCGAGGATATTCGCCTCCCTTGGCCTTCACCCTCGGGCGGCAGTGCGTGGCAGCCCAAGACCCCGCCAGGCTGTTGGTCGCAGCCCTACGCCGAGAAGTACGGGTCAGACAGTACTGGCAGCGAGGGCACGCTCAGACCAGACGCGCATGGTTTCGTTCCCTCTCATCTCGGCAACTCAGATCGCATCCGTGCTCCGTGCTCAGACCGCCGTACATCCCATCTCCCGATATGCTCTACCAGGCTTGCTCGCACATCGGCCACGCCCAGAACACCTTCGAGATGAACCGCCTGGACGGTCACTGGACCGAGCCCCCCCACAAAAAGATGCCCCCCCCCCAACAAACAAAAAAAAGATGGGACCCCCCCCCTCGGGACACCCTCGGCGGCCCCCCCCACCTAGCCCTTCGGGCTACGTCGCCGAGTACCCCGCACCTCTCGCCACAGCTGGACCTGCCTCGAACATCTGACCCCGATAAAGCGCGGACGGTGGATCAGACCACCATGCTTGATCCAGTCGGGCCTCCACCAGAATTGCGGAGGAACCAGGGGCGTCCCAAACGCAGAGTTTGTTTTGACCTATCAGACGACCCGCCGTGAGTGGCCCTCTCCCAAGCTCCCCCTCCCTTCCTGCCCGCCCACTGTCCTGACCTGCTCCTGCTTTCCTTCCTCGTCCTTCTCCTTCCCTCTATTGTGGTTCTGGGAGGGAGGGGTTCTGTGAGCTGGGGATGGGGAAGGCGGATTCGACCAACGCCCTGCGCGTAAGGCATCAACACAAGTTTCAACCATCTTGGGCAGTTCATTCCGCTCGCAGTCGCGACGAACGTCGCCCAGCGCGCGATCACATGGTCCACCTTCCTTTGTTCATTGCTTGGCGGGACGAGGGGCTGGGAACATGGCGTTAGGCATGGAGGAAACGCATGCAGTGTGCGGCGACAACGCCACCGCCATCATCGTTCTACTCTTAGGGAGGGCGCTCTCCCTCTGCCCACCCGTGGTCACCACTATCGTGCCCCATCCTCTGCTGTTACGCCCCAGGCGCAGTCGCCTCCTTTACCTCCCCCCGCTACTCGCCAGTGTCATCCCTTCCTCCCTTCCTAAGCCTCCTTCTTGCTCTTGTAGTTCGGGGAGGGTTGGGTTTGGAGTCTGTGGAGTCGGGTGGGGGCCGGGGATGGGAGGAGCGTGCTCGTCTGTCGCTCGAGCAGGCTGGGCCGCCGTGGCTTTCGCCGCGCACAGAGGCACATGATAATCGATACAATTCCATAGCCGCCGCAGCATCCGTCCTCGCCACACGTTTCTACCACCGCTTCTGCACGCTACAGTTCTTGCTTCCACCAACATTCTTGCAATAGTCGGCGTGTGGGGGTCGCGGGGGGGGGGGCGTGCACGCATATCGCTCGAACAGGCCTGGGCGCTCGCGGCTTGAACCGAGCGCAGAGGCAGTTGTCGGGTGAATCAGCGCCACCGCCACCACAAGATGCCGTCCTCGCTAGACGCTTGCCGCCCCACATGTTCCTCTCCCCGCCCGCTCATTCGCTGCCGCTTCTCTGCTCCAGGGGGCTCGCGTGCTTTACCCGAGAAAAACATGTCAAAAAGCACGCATGGACACCAAACAGTTTGTCTTTCGCATTCCTGCACTGATCGGGGGCAGCGGGAGGTTACTGGGGTGAACCGCCAAACCTCAGGAGAGCATGCGGCAACCGCAGGCGCATCGAGACTATTTCTTAGGATTCACCATGCACGCTGCCACCGCTTTCGATCCACCCAGATGGTGCGAGCATCTGGCTTCACATTGCGGCATTCGCGCCGCGGCATGGCCATTACTTGCATCGCGATGCTGATTGGGCTGCGCGTTTGTTTTTCCTTTCTACTTCTCCCCCCCTGTTTCACATTCAATGCAGCCCAACCAAGTTCGATGCCTAGACGTCAACCTGCCGCAAGGGACGACTCGGCCAGTCAAAGGGCACCTATTTGCATCAGCACGCCCGCTGGACCTCCCTGCCCCCACCCACTGGGCCAAGCACGAGGTCGCGTGCCGACTCGTAGCGGCGTCAGCCGTGCTCCCTCGCAGCCCTAATGTCCGCGGCTTGTACCAGGCCCTTGTCTAGCACCGCCCTTTTCATGGGACGCCAGCAGGGACATGGCTTCACCCACCACGAGCCCCAGGTCTAGACATCCCATTGTTTCCCTGGGCGCCGACCCCGGCACCGTCAGGAAGAGGAGGAGGGGGGACGGCGGGGGTTGGGGGATGGACGCTTGCGCGTGGGCGCATTTGCTTGGTGATGCCACGACGCCCCTGGCCGAGCGCCCCGCTCTTCTTCCCATAGCACGTGCTCAACCATCGATTTGGATGAGGGGATATGCGAAGAAGACGGGCGTTGCGGGGACGGACTTGCCGGAGGTGGTTGCGGCATGCTGCCCCGCTGAACCTGATCTTTGTTTTGTTTTAACCCCCCCTTCCCACTCACCAGTTGGTGGTTGGGGCAGGATTGGTGGGTTTCTGTCATCGGCATCATCCGCCCTGAGTGAGTGAGTGTGTGTGAGTGAAGAGGAGGAGGACGAGGAGGAAGATGAAGAAGAGGAGGAGTAGGAGGAGAAGGGGGAGAAGGAAGAGGAAGAGAAATAGGAGGAGGAGGAGGCCCAGTGTAAACCCACGAGGCATCAACGATGTTGGAATCAACTCTCCCTCCGAGCTCCCGTTTCATAGGCCCCTACATTAAGTCAGTTCCTTTGGAGGAACTGCTTCTTCGGAAGACTACCCATTGAAGACCCTGAAGCATGGCAAAACCTTGTCCTCGGGATTCCAACGCCACGGATCAACCTGACTGTTGCGTCTTGTCAATCCTGAAACGTGCCAGAACGCCATTCCTGGGACTTGAACACAGCGAACCAGCATACCTGATGCACAAACGTAATGTAGCATAATCCTGCATCCTGTCAAAACACAATTTCTGGCACGTTGGTTATGGGAGCCCGTGAATATTTCGCAATACTTTAAAAACGAATGTGCGCCGCGCCAGGGCGGCAGCCACATTTTGAAAAAGAACCGCCCTCAATCCGTGAAGCTCTTGCAAATTGATTATAACGAATGAGCGCAACGCTTAAACGAACACAGCAATATGAAAAGGAACCGCCTTCAATCCCCGAAACTCCTGCAATTTTGTACACCGGATGTGCGCCGCGCGAAAGCGAGAACCACATTTTTCAAACGCCCCGCCCGCAATCCGTGAAGTTCTTCAAATGTTTAAAGCGAATGTGCGCCGCGCTAAGGCGAAAGCCACATTTTGAAAACGGCCCGCCCTCAATATATTGAACCTTTGGGAATGTTTAAAACAAATGTGCGCCGCGCCAAGGCGAGGGCCACCTTTGTTTGTTTTGAAGACGCGGACAGCCGAAGGACATCGCTATGCGCGTCCCCTTGCGACGCTGCACAACTTCATGGCCGGAGCGCACCCCGCCGAAATAGCGGTGCTGGGCTGCGAGTTTCCGCGTCCGTGCGCCGAGACCACTACGCGGGCTGGTGGAGGCGGGGTCGTAAGCCAACTTCAGGAGGATGGCGCGGAGGGCCTCCCAGGTGGGGGGGATCTTGGTGGGGAGATTCTGCAGGTCCCGCGGCAGCGTGAGGTTGGCAGCCTGCACCAACGCAAAATGCTGCGCCATCTCATCCTCCACGAGGTCCTGGAGCCATGCGTCCGGAAGAGG